TTTTGTCTCATCCTCCATATTCACCTAATATCTCTCCTACTGACTATCACTTATTTAAGCATTTTGAGCTTTTGGTTATGGTGAAACACGCCTATTCTAGAGTTAATAGACTCTCCCACTTAATATAAGTAGGAGTAGTAAGAGAAACAAGGGTCAGTCAATCAGCCAGTCGTTGTCGGTCGACCGGCTGATCGGTTGAACTCTCTGCCTTCGGGCGGGGAGGAACCCGAAGGAGGCTACGCCGAAGGGCGGATTCTCTTTCGGAGAGGTAAACCGACCCTGAACCCGTTTATACGGGTTCAATGGGCATATTTTTGGGCCGATCCCACGTGCTCGGAAATCCCACATTAAATAACCGGCCTTGTGCCACATGATGCCTCAGTTGGTGGGGGGGACTGAATATCGCCAGTCAGTCAGTCAGTCAGTCGATGTCGGACAACAGTTAGTCGAATACGAAAGTATCAGCGACCACCACAAGATTACTCTGCGTAATGCTTATTATATCAAGTTCCTAACGTTTTGTACGTCGAACCTATTTTAGGACCGACTTAGTACAAATACAAGCCTCCACTGCGAAATCATTCCACAACACTTTTTATACGCAATAAAACATTCTCCAATAAGGAAGCATTTGAACTATTTATAGCATCAAAAGATGAAATTTGTTTTTCAAAGATGGGATCAAGAATCTAGAGGTACGTTGGAGAACAGTCATTTATCAACATGGTGCTTGTTTCGACTAAATAAATTAGTTATTTAACATTTCAAAAATGTTTGATTCCTTATAAAGTGCGTCATTTCATGTCTGACAGCTTAACATTAAGGAAATGGGAAATTTCGTTAAAATCAAAGAGGTTCTGAACTATTACCTAATATCATTCTTCCTATATGGCAGGTAATGCAAGAAAATCTCACAGATGAAAAAGAGATTCGAGGCAACAGAAACGTCGTTCAACAGACTGATTTGTTGATTTGTTTGTTTAACGGCATATCAACTCCTCATGGGTCATTTAATGCTGAAATTTAATTTTCTTGAGAGATTTTTTTTTAAGTGTTTCACCCCAAGCAAGGCGGGAAGCCGCTAGCACGCAAGGGGTTACAGAGAGTTGGAGCGAGAGTAAAGAGGAGGGATAGAGGAAAGGATGAAGAGAAGGATAGGGGATAGATCAAGGTAACTGGAGATGTCGATTGACATTACATTTGAATAGTTGGAGATTATAGATATCAGGGAAACTGGAAAAGAGTAGGGAGTTCCACAGGCAAGAGGTGCGAGACATGAAGCTTTTGAAGTAGAAGAGACGGCTACATTTAACAGTTTCGACAGTGAAAGGGTGAGAGCGAGATGCCAACCTAGTAGAACGCTTAAATTCATGAAGTCTGGGAACCAGCGAAAGCAGTTCATCGGAGCAGTTACCGTGAAAGTATTTGTCAACAAGACAGAGGGAGGCAACGGCATTTCTTTGAGAGAAAGTAATAAAAATATACACTATTCTGCTTTCACAATTGAATACATGGTAGATGATAGTCACCTTTTGTGAATATACAGATTTGTGTGAACATAATTACTAGAGGTGGTGATCGGTGTGGTTTATATTGTAGTTTTGTTGAAGTTATATCTTAGAATACAATTTGATTTAAGTAATGTTATGGAAGTTCTTTCATGTTGGTCGTTTAGTTGGTTGATTGATTGGTTGATTTTGTTTGGCGGCATATCAACATCTGTATGGGTTATGTCCTGCATTGGCCTAGTCGGCCATCAGCGTGTCTGCAGCCGACGTGGACAGCCCACTTCATAAATCTTCTTTCACGAAGTCAGGCCAAGATAGAGTTTATTTAATATCAAAATCTAAATCTTTTTTGTAAGTAAATTTATACTTCCAGAGTAAAGGTAAGTTTTTAGATATATATGTTGTAGAACATAAAATGTATTGTTGCTAATTTTACTATAAAAATGTATTTTTATATTTTAGCGTCATTTTGCTATAAAATTGTATTGTTGGTCATTTTATTAGATAAATGTACTGATAACTTTTGTATGGTAGTTCTCTATTTGCCTATAGTGGGGTCCCTAACAGGTCAGGGTGGACCTGGGAACAACAGCTATTAAGGTGTGGTTCCATGCTCCTCAAAACCGCCAACCTCCCGATCAGAGGCCTTGCTGCCGGATGTAGTTTATCGTCATACCCAGGACTAGCAGTTATGACGTTGTTACATGCTCCTCAAAACCGCCAATCTCCCGATCAGAGGACTTACTGCCGAATGTAGTTTATAAAAATGTAGAAAATATGTTTACATTGTAGGAATTTGGCGGTGAGATAATAATGGTTTAATCTTACAAAACTTACTAATTAACCCATATCTGGGGGGAGAATATGTAAATTCATACTTCTCCCGTTTATATTTTCGCGTAAGTTAATATAACGAACCCAACTGGAATTGGAACTCGGCTCTCCGATTAACAATTCTAAGACATTATCCATTGCACCACCTGCACATCCAAGCTTACAGCGCCTGGTATTTCCAAGCGGTCACTCATCACGGTACTGACCAGGCTTGTCGTTGCTTAACACGTAATGCCTGCACTTTTTATTCATGAAAAATGTCATTTCTATGGTCAAAATAATAACCACAAATGATCCAGTGACACACATATGTATATATGTATGTGCAAAAATTCAACCATCAATATCTGGGAAGACAATATAAATATCTGGAAAGACATTATAAGTAAAAGAAAAGCATAACTTTTATATACCAACACGTTTCGTTCCTTGAGGGATTTATTAAGATAAATGTGGAAAAATTTTCTCGTAAACTGTATCCATACAGATACGTAACGTAGAAGAAAATATCGTCAAGTTTCCGAATATTGAATTTGAGGACGCTCTAAAATATTCTTAAAGCTGTGTAAAGAAAGGTAAACTATGGAATACGCTAATTTATCTCTATCTATAAAAGGCAGGATGTGTGTGTGTGTGTGTGTGTGTGTGTGTGTGTGTGTGTGTGTGTGTGTGTGTGTAACGAATGCACGGCTGCAATTTTCAACGGATTTTCACCAAAATTTACATGCACATGCTCCAAGTTAGTGGAAAGGCCAAGACCGACTTTGCATTTCCCAACTCCCACCCATAGTGGAAATAATCGATTTTTTCATGTAGTTTGCGGCCATTTTGTACTGGCCAGAGTGAGAGCCTATAGCTGGCTGCCACGAATAGACAGGAAGATTCTATTGGCTAGCGTGAGAGCCAACAGCTGACTGACACGAATGTTAACTAGCATGCTAGCATGCAAAAAAAATCGATAGCTGCATTCGTCACAAGTGGGAAAAATTTAAATCTGCATGGCACTTTATTCCAGTTGGCTTATTCGCTTGCTTAAACTCAACATTGATTCTGATTCCGCAGAACTGGGTTGGGTGTGAAAAAGTATTTGTTGTTAACATTCTTTTTTCATTCGGTTTTTCCAGTTACGAGTCCTTTTTTTTTTTTTAAAGCTGATCGTTTTGTGTTCATTTTGTTTAGTTCTTTTTTCGTAACAGATTTAATGTTTAGTATAGAGATTTAAAAAATTTGGCAAGAAGTGGGGCATGTAGCAACATCAGCACGGCAAAGGGCACTTCTTTAAAGGCAAGGAAGGGCAAAAATATTTTAACTCAAGTGATAGCGATTGCTGTATGAGTCGTACGATTTTTGAATCAAGCACGGGCAACGTCGGGCCAGGCTGCTAGTTGCCTAATAAACGAAAGTGGGTAATTGCTGTTGTGTTGATTTTTTTACTTTATTAAAAATGACTGTATTTATTAAAACAGAAAATAAATGTTCTTGAAAGTGCAATTATCGATTCTTACCAAAATGTTAACTTACGCTCTGGATTTTTATTTTTTCAAATACAATGGAACCTCTGTTCACGAATTTAATTCGTTCCTGAAGGCCGCTCGTAACCCGAAATGTTCGTAAACCGAAACTATTTTTCCAATAGGAATCAATGTAGAGAAAAAGAGTCAGAGTACAATAAAATGGGAAAAGAAAAGCACAGCACAAATGAATATATACAACACGGCGATCGAATCAGAAATTATTCCATTCGGGTTAACTCGGTTTGGCAATGTTGTTCGAGAACCGAAAATTTGTTCGCTAACCGAGGCATTTTCCTCTCAAATTTTCTGTCCGAAAACCGATTTGTTGGACATGTGAGATGTTCGAGAACCGAGGTTTCTTTGTATCTCCTTTCTTAAGAGAAATACTTCTTTGTCAAGCCATAATTTTGTTTAACTTAAAAGAAAATGGTTATCTCAAGACCTTCAAATATTTAAAATAAATAAATACATAAATCATTAAAAAAGACGAAATAAAATATAGAAAAATAAGTAATAATTATATTTTAAAAAAAAATTAAGATAAAATAATACATTGCCGAAATCCTGAATATTTTCCGGTTATCTGCCCGTTTATGCGCAAATATTACATAAAACTCATCAAATAGATACATTTTGGCATTTATCCGTATAGCTACTCGAACGGAATATGGCACAAAGCCGAATTTTATGAGCCGATTTCTACACAAACACAGGACGTGGGTCAAAATTGCACAACTCTCTTGGTACTTTCCTATTGGGACGCTTTTGGCGCCAAAGGTTATACCTAGCCCTTCCTCTTGAAAGCGGTAATGACTAGGGAGACGGTCCCACTGGAGATGAGCTTAATAATATGGCGTGCATAAGAAATACAGTTTTGTTATTTATATCTACCTACCTGTGACTTACATCTTGCCAAACTGGAAATAAAATTTTGAAAAAACATTTTTTTGTTGTTGGCTTTTATAATGAAATTTCTTCTTCTTTGCCATGTCCCTTCAGGTCGTGTTCTATTGTGGTCCTAGTCCTCCACAACCTCCTTTCCTTTGTAGTCTTTGCCAAGCCCCCACACTTGTTCCCCTATCTATTAACACAAGCTCGTTAAGTAGATGACTGACCGTCTTTACCTGTAGCCTTTGACTTCAATATGTCCTGTGAGTGTCAAATTCTTCAGGTCCTTCTTCCTCATCAAGTCTCCCAGAAATTTCTTTCTTTCTTTCTTTCTTTCTTTCTTTCTATCTATCTTTCTTTCTTTCTTTCTTTCTTACGTTCATTCGTGTGTTTGTTCCTTATTTCTTTCTTTCATTTGTTCGTTCTATCTTACTTTTTTCTTCCTTCCTTCATTTCTTTCTTTGTTCGTTCGTTCTTTCTTTCATTTGTTCGTTCTTTTTTTCTTTTTCTTTCGTTATTTATTTCTTTTTTTCGTTCATTCTTTCTTTATTCTTTCGTACGTTCGCACTTTGCGTTCGTTTGTTCGTTTATTCTTGCATTCGTTCACCCATTCTTTCTTTTTTCATTCGTTCATTCTTTCTTTCCTCCTTTATATCTTTCATGCTTTCTTACGTTCATTTGTTCGTTCGTTCCTTCTTTCTTTCTTTCTTTTATTTGTTCGTTTTTTCTTCCTTTTTCTTCCTTCCTTCATTTCTTTCTTTCGTTCGTTCTTTATTTCTTTCATTTGTTCATTCTTTTTCCTTTCTTCTTTTTCTTTCGTTCTTTCTTTCTTCCGTTTTTCTTTCGTTCTTTATTTCTTTTTTCGTACGTTTTTTCTTTATTCTTTCGTAACTTTCTTCTTTCTTTAATTCTTTCTTGCATTCGTTTGTTCTTTCATTCATTCGTTCGTTCTTTCTTTCTTTCTTTCTTTAATTATTTATTTCGTTCTTTCGCCCTTTCTTTCTTTCTTTCTTTCTTTCTTTTCTTTATTTCTTTATTTATTTCGTTCTTTCATCCGTTCATTCTTTCTTTCTTTCCTTCTTTTTTTCCTTTATTTTTTTCGTTCGTTTGTCCGTTCGTTCTTTCTTTCTTTCAGACGTTTTCCTAAAGATCTCTTCGTTGCTCACATGTTCCATACATGCTATTCTCAGCCTTCTTCTGTAGAACCTGTTTTTTATCATTTCACCGCAAACAAGACAATAAAGCCACTATGGCGCAAAGGGGTTACTAAGTGTGAAAGAATAAGAGAAAAAGAAAAGCATTTCATATATCTTAGTTGCTGTCTGATTAGCATGGGTCAAATTCTTAAAAATATATAAAAAATACAACTAGATTGGTATCTGGGCTCCATTAGTTTACTCTTGAAATAGTTAAATGCAACCGCCACTTCCAACAGTTTCTTTTCTCTCACTTCCCGCCGGTGGAACTCCCTTCCGATTTCTTGCTTCCCTAGAAACTACGATCTTAAAAATGTAAATGCAATGTCAATCGCCATCTTTTATTTTCTTGAATCCCATTCATCTTTTATCATTTCCTCAATCCCAACTATATCCAGTTTTTTTTCTTCTCTCACCTTCACTCTCTGTAAATTCCTGCGTGCTAGTGGCTTTTCCGCCTTGTATGGGGTGAAATGATTAAAAAAAAAACTATAAGAATAATATAAACCAAATAATATTGACGTATGGTGGCCGTTAATAATTAAGCGTAACTCAAGACTTCAATGTTAAAATAAAACAGTATTTAATTACAACTGCAAATAAATACTTAAGAAGAACAAAGAACTAAAAGTCAACCAAAGATAATTAACCATTTCAGTGAATACCTTGTTAACGTCCTGTAAATCCTAAATCAAAATCAAAATAATCACACTAATTCGACTGGATAGTTCCACTCAATAGTCACTCAATAATCACTGCAGTCAGTAGCCTGACACCGCTATTTAGACACCTAACAGAAAACATGCATTCATAAGTGCAGGGAGTCACGCTCGAACCTCGGTGTAGGTAGTTATTCATTTTCTTCCTATATGACACCTGGAGAGCAAGAAAATGGAATCGAGTTCCACAAGCGAGAAGTGCGAGAAAAAAAACTCAGCATAGATCTTATTGTCACATCTAGCCACTTCAAAAGTAAAATGATGTGACCTAGTTGCTAATCTAGTACTACGGTTGAACTCAATAATCACTGCAGTCAGTAGCCTGACACCGCTATTTAGACACATAGCGGAAAACATGCATTCATAAGTGCAGGGAGTCACGCTCGAACCTCGGTGTCGGTAGTTACTCATTTCCTTCCTATATGACAAATTTAAACAAAATTAATAAACAAAATATAAACCAAGGAATATAAACATTATATGCATTATATAAAAAATATTATAAATTAATGATATAATAATGATTATAACAAAATAATATAGCAAATATAAGTCATTAATCAGCTTCTCTTCGCAATTTTTGCCTCGAAAATTTCCTCGCCTCAATTAATTTCTTGGACATTTTTTTGAGATTCTATGATACATCGCATGCTTTATTTACTGATTTTGTTCTTGCAAACTCAGTCGTCCTAAATTTATTCTTATTTATTTACTCTGTTTGTTTCAATGCCGTGCGATATTTCTTGTCTTTTTTCGTTCGTCCTGTTTTTTTTTTTGTTTTTTTTCTTTTCCTGAATTCAATCTTTACTTTGATTATTTCATTTATTGTGTTGATTCGCAGTTGCTGACGGAAGCAAGAGTCTCATTACAGCAAAAATAACGGCACGCGGTCGGTAATCGCCCGTAAATCAAGGGAGGTAATAATTTATGACTAAAAAAAAAAATAAAGGTTTTATTCCAGGACGCGTTTCACGATCAGCAAATAATTATGTCTTTTGTCTTCTTGCGCGTTTTTTTTTTAAAATTTTCATTCATTTGTTTTTCTCTCTTTTTCTTTTCTTTTATTTATTCGCCTACATACTTCCTTGTTGCCAGTTCTTCCCCTCTTCTGTTTGTCACAGTTTCTTTTTCTTTATTCGAACCGTCGCTTATTCAGTTTTCTTTCTTTCTTTCATTCTTTCTTATGTTGATTCATGCGTGCGCGCGTTCGCTCGTTCGTTCCTACTTTCTTTCATTCGCTCATTCTTTCTTCTGTTCATTAATACTTTATTTCCTTCCTTCTTTCGTTCGATCTTTCTTTCTTCTTCCACTTTTTCGTACGCTCGTTCGTTCTTTCATTCTTTTATTCGTTCACCCGTTCTTTCTTTTTTCATTCGTTCATTACTTCTTTTATTCGTTCTTTCTTTCGTTCGTGCATTCTTCCTTTTTCTTTTCTTTCTTCCGTTCATTCGCGCGTTCCTTCATTCGTTCGTTCTTACTTTCATTTGTTCGTTTATTCTTCCTATCTTTCTTTTGTTCATTCGTATTTTATTTCCTTTCTTCCTTCATTCGTTCTTTCATTTTTCATTCATTCGCCCGTTCTTTCGTTTTTCGTTCGTTCTGTCATTTTTTCATTCGTTTGCCTGTTCTTTCTTTTTCTCATTCGTTCCTTCGTCCTTTCTTTCTTTCTTTCTTACGTTCATTCACGCTCGTTCGCTCGCTTGTCTTTTCTTTCATTCGTTCGTTCTTTCTTTCTTTTGTCCTTTACTTCTTTTTTCGTTCTTTCTTTCTTCTTTCATTCTTTTGTACCTTCATTCTTTCTTTCATTCTTTCTTGTGTTCGTTTGCTCTTTAATTCTTTCATTCGTTCGTCCATTCTTTCTTTTTTCATTCGTTCGTTCTTTCTTCCTTTCTTCCTTTCTTTCCTTCGTTCTTTCGTCCGTACTTTCTTTCTTTCTTTCTTTCTTTTTTTCTTTCTTTCTTTCTTTCGTCCGTCCGTCCGTTCGTTCGTTCTAACTTTCTTTCTTTATTTCTTTCTTTCTTTCTTTTTTTCTTTCTTTCTTTCTTTCGTCCCTCCGTCCGTTCGTTCGTTCTAACTTTCTTTCTTTCTTTTTTTCTTTCTTTCTTTCTTTCTTTCTAGTTTATTGTCTCTATTTCTTTTCCTTCTTGTTTGGTTTTCTTGTAGAGAATGTAAATCAAAAAGGCTCGCGAGTTGAAGAATATACCAATATCACTATCTTAAGCGAAAGAACAAAATCAAGCACAGCGGATCATGTATACTAAAAAAATGGTAAAACAAAAAGCCTCATCTGGAATTAAACTAGAAATAAGACAGGTCAGATTCGTAGATTTTAGCGACATTTCAATCGAACTGTTGATGTCAGGTTTTTTTTTCCGTTCTTTTTTAATTACTTTATATTTAACCCAGATATAAATATATAAATCTTATATGAATAGTTTTGTTAGATTTCCATCACCAAGTACCCTCAAGAACCTTTTCCATAAACATTTTTATGTTTTTATTTTGTTTCTTTAATTATTTCATGTCAAGCAAGGCAATAAAGCCACTAGGATGCAAGAGATTACTGAGTGTTAAAGAATATGAGCAACACGCTTATTAAGGAGAGAGGACATTAAAAGAATAAGAAGACAGACGACAGACGATAACGATTGATATTGGATTTAAATTTTTGGAGATCAAAGTTGACTGAGAAGCAAGAATCCGAAACAGAGTTCCACAAACAAGAAGTGCGAGAGAAGAAGCTTAGCATAGAACTTACGGTTACATTTAGCCATTTCAACTGTTGCCAGTCTAGTACTGTGCTTAAATTCATTAAGTCTAGGTACCATAGTGGAAAGTCCATTAGAACAATTACCATGAAGGTACTTATATAAAAGGTACGTGAAAGCTACATTATGGCCGTGGGAATGTGACCGAAGCCGAAATGCCAGATCAGGCCCAATAACATTGCAGATTCTTCTTTAGATTTTATTAAGAATCTCTAAAAATGTAACAGGAGCACCAGACCATATGTGACAGTAATATTCTAAGCATGGACGAATAGTAGACTTATAAATACGTAAGATAGATTCTGGATAGAAAACTTGTCTAGTAAAACGCATTCAACCAACTCTTTTAGCATCAAACCTAGCAATGGACTCAATATGGCATTTCTACTTCATGTTAGCCAAGGATTTTAACTCAATAAGATGCAATAAGTCATTTTCCTGCTGGTTAGCATCAGCCATGCTGGTGGAAGATAGAAACGGGTCGCTCAGATGATTAACAGAGAGCACTTTCGTTTTGGAGGCTTTAAAATTAACAAGCCATTCCTTGCCCCAGTTAACAACAGACTACAGGTCATTTTTTTAGGTCAGCTGCCAATTTGACCATATCCAACTGATCGGAGTTACTATTAAGACAGGAGTAAATAGTTATGCTATCAGGATAGATACCAAGTTGTGAACTGATGTCATCATAAAGGTTATTGATGAAAGTTAAGAACAAAGTATGACCAATGATACTGCCCTGAGGGACACCTGCATTAGTATAAAAAGATCTAGAAGAATGGTCGTTCAGGACAACTTTTATTTCGCAATCTGCCATATATGGTCTGGTGCCGCTGTTCGCCTTAAAGTCCTCGACAAAATCCAGAGACGGATATGCAATGTGATTGGCCCTGATCTGATATCTCGTCTACATTCTCTCTCTCACAGACGTGCCGTCACTTCACTCTGTCTTTTCTAGAAATACTTTCACAGTAACTGCTCTGAGGAGATACATTTGTTAGTTCCCAGACTGCATTAATTTAAACGTGCTACTAAGCTGGCATCTCGTTCCCACCCTTTCACTGTCGAAACAGTTAAATGTAGCCCTCCTTTCCTCTCCAATAGCTTCATGTCTTGCACCTCTCGCCTGTGGGACTCTCTCCCCTTTTCCTGTTTCCCTGATAGAAATAATCTCCAACTATTTAAATGTAAATCTATTCCCTGTCCTTCTCTTCATCCTTTCCTCTATCACGCCCTTTTTACTATCGCTCCCACTCTTGCGTGCTAGTGGCACTCACGCCTTGCTTGGGGTGAAATGCTTAAAAAAATACTGAATCAGTTAAAAAATTCGTCCGGAGATACCAAAACTTTCAATTTGTGAAGAAGACCATTATCCCAAATCCTGTACAGCGTTTTGAGATGTCCAAAGCAACATCTTGATCAACTCTTATAGCAATAATCTTTAATACATCAGCAGTTGATATAGAGAAGCGAAAGCCATATTGCCTATCTTAAAGAAGGCCCTGTGATGTGAGACACTTAACCAATTCAGAGTTGATTAGTGCAGGGGTTTTCAAACTGTGGTCCGTGGACCACAGGGGGTCCGTAAGAACAAGATAGGGGGTCCGTGGACAGTAAAGAATTTTTTATGGGTGACATACAACTTATAATGAACTGGAAGAACTGGCAGAAATTTCAAGCGACAGAAATCAGTTTTAAGCGGCAACAACTTTCGAAATTCTGGCTCACTGTCGCCTCCGAGTAGCCATTGTTATCTCGAAAGGCAGTTAAGATTTTGTTACCGTTTGCAACAACATATTTATGCAAAGCAGGATTTTCGGCACTAACCAATCTGAAAAACAAATACAGATCCAGACTTGCTCCAGAAAGTGACTTACGTGTATGTTTATCAGTAATATCGCCAAGAATTGACAGTTTGTGTAAAGCCAAACAAGCACATCCTTCTCACTAAGTGTGTATTAAAAAATCCTGTGTGTGTAATTGACAAGAAAACTATTTGTTAAATACTATTACTGTTTTCATTTACATGTAAAATTAATATTTTAATATAACAAAATTCAATGTTGTTACATTTTGCAGCAACATGCAGCATTAATTTATTTGAACACTTATGTCTAAAGTAAGCTTTAAACCAGCTTTTATTGCATTAATGCAAAATTATATGTTATATTCAGCAAATATTTATGTATAAATTTCATAAGCGTTTATAAGGGGGTCCCTAAGGTAAAGCCTGAAATATAAAGGGGTCCGCAAGTCAAAAAGTTTGAAAACCCCTGGATTAGTGCATCTAGTGCTTTGCCAAAAAGTGGTAGAACACAAATAGGCCGATAGTTAGAAGGATCAGACGGTTCACCTGAGTTCTTAAAGACTGGAACAACAGAAGAGAATTTCCAACAAGCAGGAAAACAAATGACAGCAAGGTATTTATTGTACAGTTTCGAGAGAACAGGAGCCAGTTCGGGAATACATTTCTTAAGGACTATTACAGGGATATGCTTTGTGAGGATATAAAGTTAACAGAGCGACCGACTGAGGAAGAATATGAGCGAGTAAGAAGGGGTGAGGCTTGGAATGATATAGGATTAAAAATACATTAATTGCTTAAAAATTCTTTTGTTTATGTGCAGTAAGTAGATATAGACTTGAAAATGTCCCAACGAGATATATGCATTTCTTAAATGAGCCTTGTTTTTTCTTAGAGCATCTTGAAGATGAGCGATGAAGCATGCTTAGGGTAAAGGTGTTTTTTTGGTCAAAATAGCAAATCAGACAACGGGGTATCTATGATGATGACACAACTATTTACAATGATAAGTTTGTTAACTGGGGCAAGAAATGGCTTGTTAACTGTAACGCCCTCAAAATGAGATCGTCTTTTGTTTTGTTTTTTTGTTTTTTTGTTTTTTTGCCTTCCATAAGCATAGCTGATGCTAACCTTCAAGATAATGACTCATTGCTCTTTCTCGGGCTAACGTTTACTGGTGACATGAAGTGGAATTATTATATCGAATCACTCGCTAGAAAAGTTGATTTTCTGTGTCGTGCTCTAAGTGTTTTTCTCGTCAGAATGCATTTTACATATTTATAAGTCTACTATTCGTCCGTGCATTGAATATTGCTGCCACATTTGGTCTGGTGCTTCTGCTATGTATCTAGAAATTCTCGACAATATCCAAAGAAGAATTTGCTAGCTTATCGCTCTTGACCTGGCATCTCGGCTTCATTCACTTTCCAACCGCCGTAATGTAGTTTCCCTGTAGATTTTCTATAAATATTTTTATTATATTTGTTATGATTAGCTTTGAAAAATTGTAAAAAAAACATTTGAAAAAAGCATTGGTACTTCAACCTCAAAAATTCAACCGCAGTACTAGATTAGCAGTTAGTTCCCATCATTTTATTTTTGAGATGGCTATATGTGACCATAAGATCTAAGCTGACTGTTTCTTCTCTCGCACTTCACGCTTGTGGAACTCTATTCTATTTTCTTGCTTCCCAGTTGACATAGAGGAAGAAAATGAATAACTACCGACACCGAGGTATATAAATAGCGTTGTCAGCCTACTGACTGCAGTGATTATCGAGTGACTATACACTGGAACTATCCAGTCGAATTAGTGTGATTTATTGTGCGTCGATGATTTGGGTTTTGATTTAGGATTTACCGGACGTTAAGTCGAGCCGTGCTACTAACAAGGTATTCACTAAAATGGTTTATTATCTTTGGTTGACTTTTATTTCTTTGTTCTTGTTAAGTACATATTTTCGGTTGTAATTAATTACAGATTTATCTTATCATTAAAGTCTTGAGTTATACTTAATTATTAACGGCCACCGTACGTCACAAAACCAGTCAACTACGATCTTCAAAGATTTAAATACAACGACAATCGTCATTTTCGGCCACGTTGAAAACCGTTCTTTTATTATCCCTTATCCTCAATAATGATTTTCTCTGATTTTTTAAACTCTCCGTAGCTCATGGTATCAGTGGCTTTATCACCTTCTTTGATATGAAATGATAAAAAATAACTCGTGTAATTGATTGACAGAACAGGAAGTGGAAAGAATAGTTTTAAAAAGGAAACACTGCTTAAAGCTACAGTAAGTTTTTTTTTTTAATCATTTCACCCTATACAAGGCTGGAATGCCATTAGTACGTAGAGGTGTGACAGAAAGTGAAAGTGAGAGAAAAGACTGAGTATGGTGAGGATTTAGGAAAGGACAAAAGATGAATGGGATTCAAGAAGTTAGAAGATGGCGATTGATGTTGCATTTAAATTTTTGAAGATTGTAGTTGTCAGGG